CTGGTTTAGACTTGTGATTTTAAGTAGTAATTTTTACTAATTTTGAAATCAATATGGCAGATGACAGATAAGCATACAAGACACTCAACATTATTAATTACCATAGAAATTCAAATTCGAACCATGAGATACCACTACACACCTTTTAGAACAGCTAACATTAAAGTCTGACCATATCCAGAGCTGGAGAGCATGTGGCAGGACTGCAACTCTTACACCCTGCTGGTGAGAATGTAGATGGTACAACCACTCTGGAAGACAGCTGGACAGTTTAAGTTAACACACTCCTACCATATGACCCAGCCACTCCACTCCTACACGTCTGCCCAAAAGGATATATATGTCCATACAAAAACTTGTACACAAATGCTCACTGAAGCTTTATTTAGAATCACCAAAAACTGGAAACAACTGAACTGACCAGAAGCAGGTGAATAGATAAACAAATTGTGGAATATCCACATAACAGTATTTTATTACTCAGCAATAAAAAGGAAATAACTGTTGATACATGCAACCTGGGCAAATCTGTAAATAATGCTGAGTAAAAGAAGCCAGACAAAAAGGATACAGACTATATAGGATTCCACTTATGTAAAACTCCAGAAAAATGCAAAATAATCTACAATAACAGAAAAGAGTCCAGTGGTTACTTGGGGAGAGGCAGGGAGGGACTGGAGGGAAGGATTACAAAAGACACAGGGACATTTTTGGAGGTGATGGATGTGCTCACTATGTTAATTGTGGTTATGGTTTCACAAGTGTGTACAAATGTCAAAACTTATACATTGTGCACTTTTAAGTATGTGCCACTAGTCAAAACTACATCAATAAAGCTATTTAAAAAAAAATAAAACACAAAACAGTACAGGAATGTTAAAGAAACTTTAAGAGTCAGATTTATTAGATTTACAGTCATTATTTAAGTATTAGGGATGTTTATTAATCAGGCAATTGGAAGTATAAATAAAGTTGGGTGAAATTAGTAAATTTAACTTGAAATCTTCAAATGAGTTAAGTTTGAAAATGGGATCAAATATTAATCAAAGGCTCCTTTAAGACTGATGTTAAGATTTTCTAGAATCAGTAATAGAACAGAAAGATTTCTAGGCTACACTTGAAAGCTAACCTTAATAGACTAGCCTTTAAAAGAACTAAATTTTTGAGTTCGTAAATTTAACACATTGTAAATCAACTTTTTTTTTAATCAAAGTAACTTTCAAATAATCTTTGTTACACAAAAATGTACATTAACAACACAGAGAAGACAAGTAGTGATTCTATAGCATCTTACTATGCTGATGGACAGTGACTGTAATGGGTTTTGTGGGGGGGACTTGGTGAAGGGGGCAGTCTAGTAAACATAATGTTCTTCATGTAATTGTAGATTAATGATACCAAAATATAAAAAAATGTACATTACACACACACACACACACAAACAGGAGTAGGGTTTTGGCATCAAAAACCTCACCTGGACATGCCATTCATCAGTCACCTATCACCTGACCAAGTCACTTAGTCTCTCTGAACCTCAGTTTCCTCTTTCTGAGAAGAATGTTTCCAGAATAGTATACTATTATTTCATATTAATAAGTTTCATATTGATGAGCAAGGCAGTAGTTAGTGAAAACCCTCAGAGAAGCATACCGTGATGCGATGTGAGAGCTCAGCAGCATGAGATCACTCCCGAGCAACCGCAGCCATTCCCAGACCCTGAGCTGACCAATGAGACCTGCAAGATGTGACAGACATAACCTCAGAGACGAAAGCATGACTCAGCACAGCCAGATCACGGAATTTTCCCCGAGGCCTCGGCCAGGGATGGCTGTTGGTCAGGAGAGGAGCTGCCACATGTGGGGTCTGGCCCCTCTGCACACACAGCTGGTGGAAATGTACTTAGGGCAGCCTTGGATATCCCAGCCTCACATCCTGCTCTGGCCTACAGGCAAATCTGGACAAGGAGGGAAGAGTAGCCAGAGCGAGGTCTGCTGGGATGACCTGGGTTATGCCTTCTGGAAGAATACTTGAAAAAAAACCTACATGCACGTCTCAGAATCACCAAGGAGACAGCACAGGAGGACGGCAGGGCAGCAGTCTCCTATGGCAGAGCCTTAGCTCAGGTAACCAAAGCTCAGGGGGCTCAGCAGGGACTTAGGGACTGAAGAGCCAAACAAGCCTTGACAAATGAGATGACCTAGGAGAAGGCACCCTTCTTGGCAACCAATCTTCCCTTCTGCCTGATGGATTGGGAGAAAACATGCAGTAAAAGATGTTAAAAGTTGGGGGGGAAATTCCTGGATTCTGCTAATCGGCCTTCTCTGGGCCCCGGTTTTTCTGATCCATAGGATAGGTGGTTTGGGGGTGGCCTTCACCCAATGGCCCCACCTCTCCTCAATGGGAGGCAAGTCAGAGCAGTAACATTCAACTCTATCAGCCAAGAATAGGAAAACAAGAGAGTGAGAAGGGAGAACAGGGCAGAGGAAACTTTGCGGAGGGTGGAGTCCATCAAAAGTCTAGAGGTATTTACATCCCATACCATCTGCCTTTCCATTGCCCACTTTCTAGGCAAACTCAATCATAGGGTAAAAAACTGCTGGCCCAGGGCAAGAGAAGACAGTGGGAAAATCTCAGAAAGGAGAATAACTCCTGGGTCATGAAGAGTCACCTGAGAAAAATCCCGACACAATGGGTGGAAACCCAAGAAAAATCCTTACACAAAGGAATTCTCACTCTGAGCACTGAACATGAGCTGTGGAGGAAGTTGTCTCTGAGCCACAAAGTCCCCAGGGCACCTGTCTATGAAATGGGGATGGCAGTTGGCCTGCCTTTGGATGAAGGGAAAAATGTTATCAGGGTCTGAAATGCAGGCAGGATGCTAGACAGACAGCGAGGACCATGTCTGGCTAGGATGCTCACAGGACTACAGCCGGAAACAGAACTGGACCACCAGGTCAGCCCAGAGGGCTGTGGGATTCAGGCCGAGATGCATGCGGATCAATGCAATCAGGGGGAGCCTGAGTGAGAGGAAACCTTAAAAGCAGCAGGTGATGCAGGGCAGTGCTGCCTGAACACTGTGTGTGAGGGAGAAGGGACAGTGCCACCTCTGCCCCCTTGTCATGTGATCCCACAGCCTGAGGATCAATGTTCCAAGTATTTCAACACCAGCTGACACAGCCGCCTCCTGTGCCCAATGGCCTGCTCTACGAGTTGACTCAAGGGGTCTTCTCAGGGGCTTCCCAGCCCTGAAGATGCTTCTTGTGGCCCTGACAAGCCTTGCCACCCTGCCCTGACCGGCTTTCCAAGCCACACTCTCCCAGAACTAGGGTCTCCCACTGAGGCTGGTCAGCTGCTAACTGGGGCCAACAGGGAGCCAGATGTCACCTTCCTGTGGAAAACAAGAAAACCAAGAGACACCTGGAATAGACAAGGACTGCTTACATTTCCCAAAAATCAGAGCTTGGCCCTTTTTATTTACTGAGCTTGATTAACTGGCATGCCAGGACAGCTAACATTTACAGCTGCTCCTGCAGGAGACCCACACGCACACCCCACTGACCTGGATTCAGGCGCAGGACTTACCCTCAGTGTTTGTCAGCTCTCAGAACGCAGGTGCTATCTAAAGTAAAAGAAAAAAGAAGTGTTATCCTAGTTTCTCCAGGCCCTCTCCAGAGAACCCAGGAGTAGCATGAGCATAGATTTAGAACCCAGAGAAGAACTGTTACTTTGCCTCCGCCTCAGAAGAATCTGGGGACAGGGGGGAGCCCCAGGACAGCACAGAGCCGAGAGTACCCAGGGCTCTGTTGTTCAGCTTCCTGGGCTCGTTCCCCCCACTCCCATCAACACTGAAAGCCTGTTTCCTCATCTGTGAAATGGGAGTAAGAACAACACCCCTTTCATAGGCTTCCCAACGAGGTAACACACACAACACACTGTCACTGTACCTGGTACAGAGGACAAACTCAGATGTGACATGTGTAGTAAGAAATATTTAAGTAAAACCCTTTCTGGCACCGGCTACATAGAAGCAAGAAGTTCTAGAAACTTACTGTTTTATCTGAAGCCCTTTTTACTCTTGTCCGTCCCATCCAGCCCCAAGCCTTCTTTCTCTGCAGTGCTGCCTCTGATCCTTCAGGAGCTACCTGTCCTCAGATTCTCTGAGCCCGTTTCCTATCTCACTATGCAACGTGACACCATTTAAGAACTATCTTACATGACCTGAGAGCTGATATGTCTCCTATCTCCTCAGATCCTTTCCTGCAGAGAGCCCTCATACACATGTATGTAAGAGTACACCCCATGTTCAGACCACAGAAGCCCACAGTTGGTGGTGTGTGACCACTTTTTGGAGTTTAGAGAAAGCTTGCTTTTGAAAGGCCACACCTGTCATTCAGCTCTAGCCACTGGTCAATAAAAAGAAAAAATAGAGACATCAACAAGTCATCAAATGAACTGAATTCATGTTCCGCAAAAACCAGTTGCCTTGGTATATTATGTCAAGGCTAAAAATGAATGTTTGGGGCACTCACCTCAATAAAATATTTACTGAGCACATACCTTGCATAAAGTACATGCCAGAAGGTACAAGTGCCAAAGAGCAAGTTGCTGGGGACTGGCTAATTAATACAGAGTAAAAAAAACAGGATAATACATGAGAGGGACCCAAGAAGACACTGCGAGCCTGACAGCCGAGGGCAGACCTATAAACAAGGATCTAACAGAAGCTTTGCTATAGGGCTGTATTGATAATCAAATGGGATAAGAGAGGTAAGCAAAAGGCCTAGCAAGGTCCCTGCCACCCCAAAGTAAGAGCTCAATGAAGGTTGGCTTTGACTACAACAGTAAGCCATTATTTATCATTATTATTACTGAAAGAGAGAACCCACATCCAACTGCACAGATCTGGTAAGACTTAATGCAGGAAAGCCTGAGTCTTGAAGAGAAATTTAATTTTGACAGGACAAGGTAAGAGTGAAAACCCTGCAGGAAACAAGGTCACCAGGAACAAGAGTGGAGGAGGGACACTAGGAAGTGAGTTTGGGGGCAAGAGTGAAGAGTGTCATATGAGGGCTGAGGCAGAAGAGTGTGCCTGGGGGGTTAAATGGAAGAACATGCCCAATAGGTGGGATGGGATCTTTTCATTCAATAGGTAAGGGGAAATGGTTTGTTCTTTTCCTCATTTTCCACTCTTCCACTCTCAGGTCCTATTCCCTTGACAGTTTGGTGAAGTACCCACAGCTAAGACGAGAAGCAGTGAAGACAAAGAAGGGAGGGGATGGCCAATCAGGCCCCAGTGAGGTTTCCAAGTAAGCAGACCCCACTTCTGTGAAGGATGTCTCTGGATGAGAAGCCCCCAAACAGGCCCACCTTCTGGGTGTGGGGAGTAGGGGCTCATCTGGAAGAGGGTAAGATGCTACAGTGAGGCAGCCACAGAGAAGGCCCATGTGAATCCTCAAGGAAAATGTGTCCCTGGGGGAGGCATCCAGCCCATGTGCTAGAGAGAGAGATGGACAGTGTGGGGCCTGCCTGGGCCTCCCTGCAAGCTTCACTGACATGACAGCCATCTCTGCAGCCCCAAATGTGAATCCTATCCCGGCTCCCTGGCTTCCACCCTTCCCACAGATTTCCAATTTGAGCCATTTTCTACTGATTCATCCAAAACATTAGTCAAGCACCTACTTGTTCCGGCACTGTGTTAGGGACTCTGGGGACCCAGGGAAGAGGCACACAGAGAACTGTGACTTGGTGGTCCGGCCCCACCTTGGTCCCACAGCCTTTGTGAGCAGTGTGGGGCAGACAGGCCCCAAGCACAGCACCCAGGGTACTGGGATACTGGAAATGAGACAAGGAGAAAGCAAGGAGCAGGACCAAACAAAGGCGCAAACCTGTATTGGCACATCAAAGGCAGGAGGGGCCAATGAGGCCACAGCCACCATGGCAAACCTCCCTGAGAGATGATCCTGGAGGTGAGGACTGGCCGAGAGAGGGTCAATCAAGCTGAATCAGGTTGAGTAGAGATAGGGTGCAAAGGGGACTTTGGGACGAATAGTGGAACCTGTGGTGGCAAACTAATTCAATTCAACAAATAGATATTGAGCAACTATAGGGAACAAAGACCCTTCCTGCAGGGCAGAGCAAGGACTAAGAAACACAAGATGTCTGCTCACAAGTTGCTCACCAGAACACTCTGCCTGGCCCTCAGAGCTCAACCGCATGCCCTGGTGCCTTTGGGCCCAATCAGTTCAGCCCTACCTGAACCTTAGCAAGCGCCCATGCCTAATACATCCCCTACAGGCCTCCTTGCAGCGACCAACCAAAATGCTCACACTCACCTGGGAGGTGCTATTTCCCCCACATTCTCCTTCCACCTTCCTCAGCCTTCCTCTTGAACGTTCTAGCCGCTTAAAACTCTCAGTCTCCTCCATAATAAAACCTGTCGCTCAAGTCCCATCACTGCTTCTTCACTACTGGCTCCAGTGGAACCAAAAGAGGCTCACAACTCACCTCTCTACAAAGTCATTCCCAGTCTGGTCCCTGACCAGCCCCCAGTCAGTCCGTTTCTCCTCTCTGTGGCCTTAGTGTGTGCTTGGCCCCGATTTGCTTCCTAGACTTCGTCTTCCACGCCCTCCTCGGGGCCACACCTCACCCATACAGGCCCTCTACAAACATGTGCTCCAGGCTGACTTGCTGCTTGGGTTCCGTTTCTTTTTCTCTCCCCCCATCGGTTCGTGGGCAGTTCTAGGGCAAGGATTAACCACATCTCCCGTGTCTTCTCCCAGCACCCAGTTTAGGGCTCTGAGCATGATAGACGTGCAAAAGAATGTGAGTAAGAGTTCAAGAGTTAAGATGAAGAGCAGGCGAACAGAAAAGCCACAGCTGCCAGTGGATAGAAATGCTGAGCACATCCACAGCCAGCATAAGAATCTGCATCACAAGGCGGGGGAAGGGTGACGTGGGAAGCCAAGCCCGGGTTGCCGGCAGCAGTGGGAAGGGAGCAACAGGGACGACAAAGACTTCTCGGTAAAGACTCACCAGGCTCTAGCTGTGACCTGGCAGACATCAGCACATCTCTGGGCCACGGTTTTCTCAGCTGCAGAATGGGGATAATGGGCCCGGGCCACCTCTCGCAATGAACAACCAGATTTTTAAGAATTTCAAAGCTACCAGGGACCTAGGGACCTGGTCTAACCCCAACATTTGTGAGATGAGGAAAGAGCTGCCCAGAGGTGAAACAAGTCACTCGAAGTACACAAAGAAAGGCACGCTGGAAGGAACCTGCACGGCAGGTCCTCAATGCCAGGGCTTCTGACTCCGTGCCCAGGAGGGCACTTCCCGGAGCGCCTGCTGCTCCTCACTGCCCCCGGCCGAGTGCACTCTGCAAACTGTTAAAAGCTGTGATAATAACGGGCTGGGTCCAGCCCCACCTCGTCCTATCTGAGCAGCCTCGGACAAATCCCTGTTTCTTCATCTAGAACGCAGTGGAACAGAAAATACCCCACGGGTTACGAGGAAGATCCTACAGGAGGCGGACAGCAGGCACTCAGAACACGGGAAACCCTCGCCTTCAACGCCACGGCTTTCTTCAGAGCTGAGCTTCCAGATGGCTGGGGAAAACTTGGGCTCCCGATTCTGACAGACGGGTGCGAGCCCTCAGGGACCCCGCGCGAGGCATTTCAGGGCTCCGTGCGTCAGTTTCTACATCTGCAAAATGGGCCCGAGGGCAGGAATAAGGCCACCAGCGGCCATAGGGACGCGGGGCTGAAGAGGCCCGGCTGCGCCCGCACCTGAGGACGTCTGCAGGGCTGCGGAGCGGGGACTAGGCGTGGGGTCCAGCAGAGAGGGGGCGGGTCCGCGCCGGCAGTCCCCGCGCGAGGGGGAAGGGCGGAGGGGAGGGGAGGGGCGGCGCACGTCGCGTCGCGCACCGCCCGCCGCCGTCTCCAGCCGTCACTCGTGAAGCCCGCGCCGCCTTGGCGCGCGCGACCCTTACATAAGCGTCCCCCGCCGCGGCGCCAGTGCACGCCCACCCGCTCCGACCCGCCGCGGGAAGAGAAAGGTGCGCAGCGCCGCCAGCACTCACCTCCTCTCTGCCGCCGCAAGTCGTCGCCACCGCCTCTGCCGCGGCGACTGGCGCTGACAGGGAACAGCTGCGGTCTCCGCGCAACCGAACTTGCTGCGGTCTCGGCCGCCCTTCGGACTTTCTATTGGCTCAGGCAGCCCAACCCCTCCTGTTATTGGACAGTATTCTCCGTCACTCACCGCTCCCTGGTTCAAGACTCCTCCCTAAGCCCTCCTGCCCGTCACGTTTAAGCCTTGGCGCCCCACGTCAGCCCCGCCCCGCGCGTCCTCGGCGGGTCCCTGGATTGGTGGCGAGGCTGGGAGAGCCCGCCTGTAGCGCACCACCGCCTACTCTCTTGCCTTTAGAGCCCCACGTGGGCCGCTCAGCCGCGGCAGTGGCCCGCAATAGGCGGAAGTGGGCGGCTCCGACACGCTATGGTTGGCTGTCTGCGGAGGTGGGGACGTGCGATTCATTCACCAGACTAGCACGTGTCTACCAAAGCCGCAAGCATAACAGACCGCACGGGGGCCCTGGGATCCGGCTTAGACGCAGAGACCAGCGAGCCTGGTAGAGAAGAGGTCGGAGGAAAGCGTTTGCGAGAGCAGAAGGAAGGAGATGGCGCTTGTGCCGCCGGGGTGTACGTGATTGTGTCCCTAGCAGATGTGGTTCGTGGTGATCTGCAGGTGGTGAGGAGTCGGCCTCTGGGGTGACCTTTGACAAGCAACCTCACCTCTAAGCCTCAGTTTCCTAATATGCAAATCCTGAGGTCACTCAGGACCTAGAGGGTTTGGAAGGCTTGGTTGAATGGAAAGCTTCCTAAACTGGGCTCTGTGCCAACCGGAGTACGGGAATGACCAAAACAACCCAAAATTTCTGCCTAACAGATGATAAACAAATAAGATATACAGTATATCAGATGGTAATTAGGGCACGGAGGAAAAAAAAAAAAACCTGCTTCCAGACAGTTGGAAGGATCAAGGTCTATGAGAACATTTTATTAACTAGGAATTGCTTATTGAGCATAGAGAGATAGTACAACTCCGTTCTAACTCTGTTGTGTCTGTCCAACTTCCTTGTCCTTCTTTCCACCTGTCTGGCAGAATTCCAACCTGGATCAATCCAACACAGCTATTTTAGTAGCAGAATATGGATTAAAATTCCAGTTCTCCAGATTCACATATTCATGCAACTGAGCAACAACTATGGGCCTGGAGCTATGCTGGAAACACAGTGGTGAAAAAGACAGCCTCCACCATCACATCATAGAGCTCACTTTCTATTAGATGTCCAAGTCCAAGGACCCTTTCTTCCTCACAACTTTCTTCATACAGCAGGAGTTAAAGTTGTTGTATGACCTTGGACAGGTCCCCTCCCTCTCTGGACTGAATGTCCTCATAAAAGGGGTCGGACTTGATGGACACTGAGTGTGCCTGTATCTACTCTTCTAGTGCGTCTACCTTAAGACTTCAGTCCTTCCTGCCTATATCTTATCTCCTCTGCTGTGTACATGTAAGATTGGGTCCCTGCATCCCTCAGACAGGGCAAGGTCATGCTCTAGGCCTGGCCATGCTACAGAGGCTGTGACATGTTGGCTCAGTCCTGGCTGGTCTCTGTGAACTCTTGGATCTAGAACAGAGGACTGGTGGCTTCACCCAGGTTCAGGAGACTCCCATGTCAACACCACCAGGTTGAGGACTGAAGGAAGAATTTAATTGAGAACTAGGAAATGGACTGCTGTGAACAAAAGAAAAATGCATTTTGAACAATTAGCTCAGACATACAAATTATCTATTTCAAGTTAGATTAGGAAACAAGACACCTCTCTATCCAGGCTCTTTCCCACCCTTAGGTTGAGTTCCCCAGTAGGACAAAGTTGGGTGTTCTATCCCAGACAGAGAAAACTGCTCAGGCAAAGGTCTGGATGAGGAGTCTAACATGGCTAGAAAAAGCATTTCTCAGCATTTCTCACTATACCACTAGTGATGAAATCTCCTTGGGACAGGGTGCTATTGGGCAACATAGATTCCTGAGCCCCGCCCCTGGGTCCTATGCATATTAACCACCAACCCAGAGATCTTAGAATCACCAGCAGAATACCATTTAAGTCTATTTATGGGGAATGGGATCCCATGCACTGCATTGCTAGTTTTAGAAGCTCTCCAGAGAGTTGTAATGTTGGTCAGTGTTGAGACCCACTAAGAGACCAAGAGAAATTATTACCCAGAGTGCCCTGGTGGTAAGCATTCCCCAGGTCTCTTTAAAAAAACAAAAGAGAGTCCTGGACCCTGGCCTCTGGATTATGATTCAGTAGGAATTCAGTAAATCTGGGGTGGGGCCCAAGAATCCTGCTATTTATTTATTTATTTTTAACAAGCCTCAACTGATTCTTCAGGCACAGAAACTTGAGAAACTTCGCTGAGTTCCTAGGAGGATGCAGGGGAGAGTGATGTGGGACAGATAGGCTGAGACCAGCCTGTGGAAGGCTGGCTAGTCTAACTCCAGTGCATAGGGCACAGGCAGCAGATTTCTGTTAGGAGGGTGTGGTTCAGGGGAGGGAAGGAGGGGCTGCTAAGCAGCTCATGGGCTCTTGTTGGGCTGGGAGTTTGTCTTACTGCTTCTTATTGATCACTTTCTGGAAAGTTCTTGATTTTTATTTATCTTCTCTACTCACATCCACTCCTCACATTTGAATGTTACCTCTACAAGAGTTGAGTCTGGCACACAGTAGATGTTTAAATGGTTGGCAAATGAAGGAATGGGAGTCATCAGCCCACATTTAGTGGTTAAAACTACAGTGAGGAATGGGACTGCTCCAGAGGCCAAGTGGGGCCCACGGGGCACCGCATTTAAGGGGAAGGGAAAAGTGAGGGAGAAGGAGACATTGACAATGCCCTGAGCTTGACCGGAAAGAGGATACAGTGGTGGGAGACAGGAGACAGACACTCTGCAACCATCTCAGCAGTACCCTATGCAGAGAGGCAGTAAAAAGAAGCTGCTTTCCTATCCCCAGGCTGCTCCCAGACCAGTGGGGGACAGAGACATCAAAGTACTAGATTTCAAAACGGAAGTGCTGTACTAGAGATAATTGCCAAAGTGCTATGGGATTCCAAGGAGGGGTCCCTTTCCCCATGAGAGGGGCCTTGGAGAGCTTCCTGGAGGGGGCAGTGCCTTGGCTAAGTCAATAGATAGGGAGATGGATAGATAGAATGATGATTGATAGATAGATGATAGATAGATAGATAGATAGATAGATAGATAGATAGATAGATAGATGATAGAATGGTAAATTGAAGCTTATCAGATGAATATATTGGTCAAAGGAATCCCATACACAGCCCAAAGTCAGGGAGGCATGATGGATCAAGGCATGGAGGGGGTCAGAAGTATAGTCTTGAGAGGAGGCTGTTGGGGAGCCAGGAGCAGTTAGGACTAAGGAGTCTGGGTAAACAGAAACACGCAGGTGGATTGAGACTCCCAGACAAAACCACAGAGCTCTCAAACTGCAGATCACCATGAGTCCAGAAATAGCCCATCCCTTTGTGTTTACAGTTCAGATGGCTGGCCTTGCCCTAAGGATCTCACAGGGACAACCTACATGCCCCAGACCCCCATACTGGGATGATGAAAGTTACATTAAAAAAAAAATTAACCAACTTCTGGCATTTGGAGCCTTAAATAGTCTGACTGCTGGTGAGACCTCAGGGTTAAACCCTTAGTGTTGGAAAGACAGGGCAGGGTTCCCGGCCAGTGGTGAATATGCCCATTCACTGACGGAAGAATGACAAAACAGCCCTTTGCCACAGGCTGCACTTGTGCATTCTATTTTTCTAAATGACACAGAATGTTCAGGGTGGTTCAGGATATGTTTCCCTCCCCACAAGGCCCTCCAGTCCGGGCCACTCCACGCAGGCTCTTGCAGGTATGCCCATACACACCTGCCTCTAGCCCAAGCTGTGCCTTGTGACACTGAGGATGAGATGCCCCTCTGGGTGGCCTCCTGATGCTGAGACCCTTCTTAGGGCAGCAGTGGAGTCATGCCAGCATGCAACTGAGCTGGCAAAGCATGGGTTGGATTGCAGTACCAGCTCGTACCTTCAGCCAGGAACATTGGTGCAGCGTGGAAATCGAACAACTGTGTGAGGCTGCCCTGGGCCCTTGCCAGGGCTACCCAAAAACAGTTTTGGGTGTGTATGGGGGATTGCTAAGTCCCAATGTTTTCCTGTTGTGGTCTCCGGCCCCTGTTCACCCCATAGCCTCCCACCCCCAGGCCCCCATCCTGTGTTTTCAGTCTCCTCCTGCTCATTTTTTTCAGTCCACTGGGCCCATGGAGCCCATCCCATCATGGGACCTCTGCAAGATGATCAGACCTTCTGCCCGCAGGGTGGGCCTTGGCCTAGCAGGTCCACACCACGGCTGCTGCCCACAGGTTGAGGCAGAAGAGGATAAGATCCTCCTGTCCATTCTCGTTCTTCCAACATCCTAGGCAGGGATACCGTATCCATTTGCAGGTATGGACACTGAGGCTGAAAGAAAGGAAATAACTTTTCTCTGAATCACATGGCTGGTCAAGGGCAGAGGCAGGACTGGACCCTGATCTCCAGGCTGTGTTGTTTCTGCTCCACTGGCTGCCTGGCAAGAATGTGCAGAATCTAGATTTCAAAGGAATGGCTTTGATTTGAAATTTGAATCCTAAGATCACAGACCTCAGAGGCAGAAGGACCTCGAGCAGTTATGTTTCGAAGATTCCCACAAGATACAGATTGTCAGGGACATGATTTTACAGACAGCTTCTCAGACCCCTCTGTGCAGGGGGCTTGTGATAGGACCTAGCAACTGGTGTTTTTTAACAGGGGGTGTTTGGAGCACCCTGGCTAAACCCACTCAGCCTCATTTTACAGAGGAAATAGGCTCCCACAGGGAAGGGACAGGCCCACCATCCATAGTCAGCAGGTCTTGCATATTCGAAAAAATGCAAGAGTACCTGTATTGACAGCCCTTGGACTCTGCACTTACTGATCTCAATTGCTTTGTCTGTAAACTGAAAATAAAACTCCTCTGATTCCCTTGAAGGCTGATGGGACTACATACAGGAAGCCCTAAGCGTAATGCCTGGCACAGAGCGGGTACCTGGGATATAGGAGCCTTGATAATCAATAGCATTATTATTACTTACCATTACCTTTGTTCGATTTATCCAAGTGATTAAAGTGACCAAAGTCTGGCATTGAACCTGACTGCCTGGCATTCTAGCCTCCTGTGGGGAGATGAAAACCAAAACTGGATACATCTGGTACCACTGTTCTAAAGTAAAAGAACTAGTTCTCCCAAAATGTACTGTATTTTAAGAGCTACTCAGGCAAAGAGAGAAATTAAATCAGTTGAAACATACACAGACCATTTTAAATTTAATTTGTGTATCTGTACAACTCCGCTCCTCACTCTGGTGGGCATTATGTTTTCAAAGAAAATTCTGGTGATGTTAACCATTAGGTTCATAGCTCTGGTCATCCTACAGGTGCCTGAAGATCCAGGCCTGAGCTCACATAGGGTGGCACACACATCTGCTGGGGACTCTGTTTGCTGGCTCGACTCTAGGGGGCTGGATTCCAGACCCACTCCTGACTCAGGCAAGTGTATTCACCTCTCTGAGCTTCTGTTATTGGGGTAGAAAAATGGGGCTAAGCTCCAGAGTAGGGTGAGGATGAAAGGCAATCACAGAAGTAAGGCTTCTGGAACAGAGGGCACACTCTATCCCTGGTGCCTCCCAACTTTGATCTGATTCCTCTTCTTGGCTCAGGGAGCCCCAGAAGGTAGGTTCCAACTGTCTTTCTTTCTAGATTCTTGATGTGACTACAGCTCCCCGATTGGAGCCTGCGGAGACCCTGCGCCACAGGCCCCAGCTAAGCCATACCTGGACCCTTGACTCACAAAAACTATGAAATCATACATAGTATTGCTTTAAGCCACGACGTTTTCGGATAATTTGTTATGCAGCAATAGATAATTAATAGTCTCTAACACTCAAGGGTAGGTATTTACTGTATTATGCCCTGGGGACACAGAGATGAAAAAGACATTGTCCTAGCCTTCAAGGGATATCCAGTGTGGTGCAGAAAGGCATATGTGTGTGATCGCTGCTGCTGTGTGTATGGTGTGAGCTGGAGGGTGGGCTGCCTCCCCAACCCCAGCAGGCTTCCAGGGGAGACAACACGGTGCAGCATCTAGAAAGGTAAGCGTTTGCCAGGTGACAAAGACAGGGAGGCAGTGGGGAGGGAAGGAAGAGAACACATGTTTTCCCCCTGTCCCTCATGGATTTGGGGAATTATTGTAAGATTACATGCTTGGCAAGAGGGTATTTGGCAGTTATATGCTTGATGCAGGAGCCAGTGATTCACCCCGATGAAGTCTGTGAATCAGCAGATTCTTCCCAGAGCAGACTTTGGAGAGAGTAGGGATTTGAGATGACTATGTCGGGTGAGGCACCGAAGATTGTGTAATGGCTTTGTTGCTTTTTAACCAGGGTCAGGGGTGGAATACAGAGGCCTGGGTGTAGATTATAGTCCATCTTTGGGATAGGCTGGGGCCCCGGCTCAGGGTCCCTGTTCTCCCTTCTCGTCACACTGGCCCTGCCTTAGCTCCTCTGGCTGGACGCTGAGCCTGGCAGATATTAAGAGACCTTTCACCCAGGGAAGGCCTAAACACTCTAAGAAAGAGGAAGGAGCAAGACCAGGCCTGGGGAGAAGTCTGGGGTGAGGCAAGAGTGGCAGCCAGCACTTCTCTGTGCCCAGAGAGGGGCGCTCTGTGCAGCAGCTCAGCAGAAGTATGGGCCCTAAAGCCTGGCTGACCAGAGCAGGAGCCCAGCTCTGCCACCTACTGGACATGCTCTCTGGCCGGGTGCTTCATCCCTCCAAGCCTCAGTTTCCCGATCTATAAAATAGAGAGAACACTGACCCTCACAGGACTATCATGAGATGTAAATGAAATACATGGAGGGATTAGCTGCAGAACCAGTAAAAATGCTCAGAAAATAGTGGTTAAAACAAAAAGGACTGTGAACCACTTATGCAAGATCCCATGCAGCCCTCAAATTCTACAATTCTGAGGAACTGCTGGCCCAGGTGAAGTATCTTTCTCTTTCCCCTGTCTTGGAAGAAAGGGCTGCTGCTGGGAGCCTGTCTTTTAGAGGCATCCACTTCCATGATTTTGTTTGCTTTGCCCAGCAACCCATTTTACAGATGACAAGATTGACTGAGAACGGAAGGGATTTGCCCAAGATAACAAATACCACCAAATCACTTTTACTGAGCGCCCACTCTGCACCAGGCCCTGTGCTTGGCACAGCATTATCATCTTTAATCCTCAGAACAATTACTGGAGTTATTTGTCCCATTACAGATGAGGAAACCCGGGGGAGAGCATGCCGGAGGTCACGCAGCTGCAGTGATAGAGCCGAGGTTCACCCAGAGGCAGTTGGCCCTCAGATAGCCCTATTCCGTGCTGCAAGATTAGGAGCAGAGCTAGACCTGGAAAAACTCCAAGTCTCCCAACTCTTAGCTTAGAGCTTTCCTGTTTCTTTGTTCTTCCTTTTTCTAAACTTCCAATTGTAGTAAAATACACATAAACATAAAATTCATTATCTTAGCCATTTGTATGTACAATTCAGTAGTGTTACATACATTCACACTGGTAGGCTACCAATCTCTAGAACTTTTTCATCTTGCAAAACTGAAGCTCTCTAGCCATTAAACAACTTGCTGTTCTCCCTAGCAACCACCAGGCTACTTTCTGTCTCTGAATTTGACTATCCTAGGTTGGAGCTGTTCTGTTTCTTAAAAGCCCATCATTGTTTTGATGTTGAGCCATCTGTTCTCTGTGTTGGTGGAATGGATTTGGACAGCCAGGGCTGCAGGAGTTCAGGGGAGGCCAAGCTCTTCATGGGTGGGTGGTCAGAGAAGGGTCCCTGGAGGAGGAGGAGGAAGGAGAGAGGCCCACACCCTAGAATGTGGAGAGGGAGTAGTGAGGGTGACTCAGGGATGCTTGGCCCCTGTGGCATGCCCTTTGGTTTATGATGGCCACCTCAACAGCACCAACCTTTGCCCTGAAGTGAGCTCCTGTCAGATAGCTGGAGGAGCCAGGCCATCTCAGAGGCCAGTGGCTTGATGAGGGGCTGGGGCAGTCAGGTGCCTTCAGCCTCCAGAACCATGGGGACTGGGCTACGCAGCCAGTCCTTGCGAGGACCACGGCCTTCCTATGGCAAGCTCCAGGAGCCCTGGGAGAAGCCTTCGGAGAGACGACTGTGCCGGGCACTAAGCCTCAGACAGGGGCGAGAGAAGTCCAGGTCCTCAGACAGAGGCCCAGAAGGGCTGGACACCCCCCATCAGGAGCAGATGCCAGGGGCCTTGGGGGACACGGAGCAGCTGATCCAAGCTCAGCAAGGAGGCAACCGGCGATGGCTGAAGCAGTATCAGCAGGTCTGGCTGAGGGCTGACTGGTGGAGGAGAACTATGGGGGAAGGTGGGGACTCCAGGGAGAGAGACCAAGAGGTAAAAGCATAAGGGGCAAGGACCAGGACAACAGAGCTGTCTGGAGATGAGGCTGGACAGGGAGGTATGCAAGAACCATATTTCAGAGGGTTCTGAAGGCGTCTGGGATCTATCCCATAGGTACTGGGGAGTCATGGAGGGTTTTAGAGCAAGTGGGTGATAAGGTCAGAGCTGTTTTAAGATGATTTATCTGGCAGTGTGTTGAGTGGTTAGATTTTGCTGGAAGCAAGGAGATCAGCTAGTACAGCTTCCCAGGGTTACATCTTGCCTTCCTCTCCCCCAGGAAAGGGGGTATCAGGAGCCCCTTGGTGGGAACTGCTGGCTCCTGGTCCCTCCCTCCTTCCTTTTAGAGGAAGGATCGCCAGGGACTGGTGCATCGTTTCTTGGGTCTACCGCCACCTCGTGGCTATAGGTGGAACAACACCTGAAGCCCACAACTCAGCCCTGGGCCCCTGGGCGCTGATCTCTCCCTTCCTATCTTCCAGCTGGTAAGGAGAAGGTGGGAGAACTTTGTCTCCAGCTTCCCCACTGTGACCCTAAGCCGGCCAGCCTCCCCGGAGCTCCCTCTGGCCACCACCAGATAAGGGCTAGAAGCGACGGTGGCCCCTGCTGCACCCAGATGAGACAGCCATGTCCACTGACCTATCCCCTGGGGCATCTTCTGGACTGTGGATGGTGCAGCCTCCTTTACATGGACTGTTCCTGCCTTCTTTACCTGGTCTGCTGAGGCCCCTGCCACCAGCTCATTCAAGGGCCCTGTGATTGTTCCGGGGCTCTGACCCTCCAACTCCACACTAGCTCACAGCACCAGCCCCAAGGGGACCGTGAAAAGAGGGGACCTCAGCTCTTTCTCCTAGTGGATTCTGCCCTCTGGGCATAGGGATACCCCTGGATGGTGACATGTATGAGGGTCTAGAAACATGCCCAGAAGGGGGCGTGTCGACCGACTTGTCGCCCCTGGCCCAACACAAGACCAGGCAGTAGCTTCCAGGACAGAACTCTGTGAAGCCAGGCCCATGCTGAGAGATGGGCGCAGTGCCTGGCCGCGGGCCATGCCCCACCCACCCTTCTCACCAGCCGCCTGTGCTGGGCAGGGCATGGGTGTCCCTCACAGATGGTGAGCTCCCTCCCGGGCAAGGACCCTGCATGGCAGTCCTCAGTGCTAGCACTCTGTGGCTGTATATATATAAGGCCCGGCCCATATACTGTGGCTTCCAGCCTCACAGTATCCCAGTGACGAAAGCAGGGGAAGTCTTCTCTCCCCATGTGACAGAAGGGGAAACTGAGGCCTGGGGGATGGGATTATTGTCTTTGGCATCTCCTGCCCCACTCCCACCCAGTTCGCAACACTGGGGTTGAACACAGAAATAAAGATTGCTGAGCTGAAGAACACAGTTGGCCTAGTGAGTAACTTGCTTCCAGGCCTATCACAGCCCCCAGCTGGGCCCAAGCTTCCCAGAACAGTGGGGCACGGGCATCAGGGGCAGATCTCCAGGAGGCTGGGTCTTTCCTGCCACTTCTCTCTTGACCTCAGTCCCCAGGAATTTCCATCTTGCCCTTTGCTGACACCAGCCAGCTCCGGAGGACCTGACTCTCACCAGTGCCTGGCCTGTGTGCTCACTCTCAGGAGACAGGGCCCATTCTGAGGCACAGAAAGGGCAAGGGGTTCACCCAGGGCCACACAGAGGGGAGGGTCTGAGCCCAAAGAGCCTGAGCTCTGCAGGAGACATCTGTGCTTGGTGTGGGGTCCCTGGGGCTCTTCCAGCTCAAGCAGATCTGAGGTCAAAGGTGAGGGAGCAGCAGCAGGCATCCTGGTGCAGGGTATGTTCTGGGGGTGGGAGTAAATGAGAGTCCCATGGATAGAGGGCAGGTTGCCTACTTCCCTAGAGCCCAGAACCCTGGCAGGGCCATGGCAGAACAAGAGGACTTCTGGGAAAAGTTTGTCCCACACAGCTACTGTCAGAGACTGGCATGCCTGTCTTGGAACCTGGACTGTGGGAGCTGACCAGAAGCTTCCAGTCTGATTAGTCACAACTTTAAATGCTCAGCCCACCTGTGCGGTAGCCCCTGGGGTAGTCTGGGACACCAGGGTACACAGTGTGAGTGCACCACTCTGACAAACCCTCTTGAATGTCCAGAGAGGGAAACTGAGGCCCAGAATGGGGCAGGAGAATTACCCTGCCCTCTCCAAGTTTCTGGTCCCTGAGGAAAGCATGCATTGATGACACTGAATGGGTCACGATAGGCTTGTGGCTGTAATGAGCAACCCCCACACCAGTGGCTTAGCATAATGAAGGCCTATTTTGCCGTCATATCACAGTCAGAATGGCGGCAGAGGACCCTGCTTTAGTGTCACTGCCATCCCCCGGCCTTGGAGCCACCATGGGTGCTCTGTGTGGGGCTGGCCTGTGAGGGAGGAGGTCCCTGCCCGGCACAGAGTAAGAACTCAATAGGTTGTTGTTGGGTAAACAAAGTACCAGCCCAAGCAGTTGGTCACCCAGTGACTTGTTGGCTGAGCTGGCCCTGCAGCTCACAGGTCTGGGGGCCCATCCCAGGCAGACAATTCTGCCTCAGCCTCATCAACAACCCCATCAGCAGGGAGCACATCTCCCGGGCCCTTGACAGAGACCTTCACCAGAACACGCACATGCTCTGATGGTTTTTTCCAAGGTGTAGCAACCATCCCACGCACAGTGCACGCCCTCTTGCGCTGTGCTGCTGCCACACACCCAAAAGAGACATATTCTGTTTTCCCTCCCCTTGAATCTGGGTGGGCCCTGTGACCTGCTCTGACCAATAGAATACAGTAGAAATAATGTTCTAGGACTCTGGGGCCTAGGCCTTAAGAGACTTTGCAGCTTCTGTTTCCACCCTCTTAGAAGCCAGCTGCCATGTAAAGGCGTCCAGGTGATCCTGCTAGTGGGTTGAAAGGTGGCCTCTAAACAGATATGTCCATGTTCTAATCCCCCAGAACCTGTAGAATTTTACCTGATTTGGAAAAAAGATCTTTGCTGATATAATTAAATTAAGGATTTTGAGATGAGGAAATAATCTTGGATTATTGACTGGGTGGGGGCTACCCTAAATCCAATGAGAGGTATCCTTATAAAAGAGACACACAAAAGAAAGGACCCAGAGATCGGAGGGATGTGGCCACAAGCTCAGGAAGCCTAGGACTACTGACAGCCACCAGTAGCTGGAAGAGGCAGGAAGGTTCTCCCCTGGAACCTCCAGCAAGAGCACAGCCCTGTTTGCACTTCGATTTCAGACTTTTGGCCTCCAGAACCGTGAGAGAATAAATTTCTATTGTTTTAAGACATGGAGTTAGGGAAATTGTTACAGCAGGAAATTAACAGTGTGTTTATGTGATTCTACCTGGCAGAGACCAGCTGGGTGTTCACCAAATCTTGACATCCCAGCTAGAAAACATTTCCCAGCCTTCCTTGCAGTCCAGTGTGGCTGTGCGGCCAAGCTGTCACCATCAGAACGTGAGCAGAAGCGGCACGCACACTCCTCCACACCTTGCCCTAAAACCTCCCTGCCCAGCCTTCTGTGCTCCCCTCCTCCACCACAGGCTCGCTCTTTCCACGCAACCACTGCTGTCGAGGAGCTCACAGTCCTGCTGGAGAGGGAGGCGGGCAGCTGGTTGGCTGCTCTGCTCCAAAGCAAAGTGGAGTGAGTGCTCACCGGGGTGGCTCAACCAGGCCAATTAAGCAGGAGGCCTGATTCCTGAGCCAGGGTTGCTCTGGGCGTGTTTGGGCGTCTTCCCCAACTTCCTGTGGACTGCAGCCCTTCAATGGGAGGAGACTGCAAGCAGGTGGAATAAAATATCTTGTAAGGGAAATGGGACCACTCAGTGGCACTAATAAGGACAGCACCCAAGTGAGTGGGCACACTGCGTCCCCAGGCATCTCTCAGAGCCTAGACAGCCAGCTTGCCTGGGAGAGCCCTCAGAGCCCATTGCTCTGGCTCATTTTACAGATGAGGAAACTAAGGCTCCCACAGCCACCCAGAGGCAAAGCTGGGGCCTTCACCCAGAGCTCCTGCCTCCCAGCCCAGAACTCTGCCCACATAGGGTGCCCACAGCCCCTCGTGGCATCAAACTCAGTGTGTCCAGGCAGTCAGCAGGGCCAGGGCAGGCCCAGGCCTGGGTGTCAAACTTGGGGCCCACGTCCCTGCCCTGAACTGTCTTACAGGGTGGCCTTGGGCAAGTCACTTAACCTCTCTATGTGTCTTGGTTTCCTTATCTGTTCAGTAAGAGTAGTAACTGTCCCTCTTCCCAGGGTCCTTGCATTGCCCAAGTTTGCACACATGAAACACTTGGGGAAGTTAGCCGTCTATGCACAGTATCCAGCTCCAGAACGTTCTACCTGCATGACTCCCCTGAGCGTCAGCGGCCTCCTCTGGGGAACGAGGGCACTAATAATAGCACCTGGCTTAAGGCGTCTTGGGGATGAAATGGGCTAAGGCACACATGTGCTGTGCCCAGGGCCAGCCCGCAGATGGGCCAGCTCAGTGAGAACCTCGGAGGGCCTGGCACTCAGAGCCCCGTGTCCTCAGCTCACCTTGGCCCGCTGGGCCTTGGCAGGGCTCTGGGCCACAGGATCCAAGAGAGCGGGCCCAGCCGCAGACCAGACTGCCACCCTGGGGCCTCCCGTTAGTGCGGGGCGGGAATGGGCGGACCCACCTGCGCCGCGGCTGTCCCTGAACCCTCCTTGCCCCCTGCCCTCTCCCAAGCCTTGTGTTTCTTCTCTGAGCCCCGGGCAAAAGCAGCCAATTCAACCAACAGTTAGCTCACTCAGAGCCCTGCTCGGGGGAGAGTTTAGAGAGGATGACACAACCAGCCCTGCCAAGTCCCCCATAGTGACAGCCTCAGAAAGGAGCCAGCACCCCAGGAGCTGGCACAGGGAGCAGATGTGCCAGAGAGGGGCCCAATGAGCTCGTTGGGGGTGGGCATCAGGGAGGGCTTCCTGAGCACTCACAGCAGAGCAGAGGGTGGCTCATCCCAACAGAGGAGCTGGCAAGGGCATGCCAGGCAGAAGGAACAGCACATGCAAAGGCATGGTGATGAGAAGCAGCTGGAATGGGCAGAGATCCAGGTGCAGATCTTTTCTGAGGGGGGAGAAGTGGGAGGGAATGGAGGTGGCAAGGACAGACAGGTAGACAAGGACAGGGCTCAAAGGACCCGGGCTGGCACTCTACCTGAGGAGCCCCGGGGGCCATCACAGGGTTTTCAATGCAGGGGACAGGGGTAGCAGAGAAATATCCCCGGGGACCTCTCCCGCATGGAGGATGCGGAGACCCACTGGGAAGTATACAGATAGACTGTGTTCCCGTTTTTGAGACGAGAGTCAAGGCCAAGGGGGATGGGCAGGCCTGAGTGGGTAGTGCAGTGATTTGGGCCTGGGCCAAGTGCTGTGTACTCCGCCCCCGGCTCACCTGTCAGGCCCGCCCGCCGTGTCCTTGGGGCAGCTCCACATTCTGTCTCCTTTCTTCCATCCAGGTCACATCGCCCCACCCAGCAGCTCCCAGAGGGTGGGGTACTCAGCCCTTCCCTTCCCAGGAAAGGCTTTAACCCTGACAGCGGGGGTGGACAGGTTAGTAGGGATGGGTGCCGAGGAAGCTGGCAGAGGCCAGGGCCCCTGCTCCTGCCCCTGCGGCAGGGGGGAGTAGGATTCACCTCGTGTTGAACGTCCCTCCCAAGCTGTCCCCAGCCTCTCCCTACTCCGGTTCTCCCTCCTGCCCTGGAGCCAAGCATCCCACCTCTCCACCTTTGCTTGAGAGCTGCTGCCTCCACAGAACAGCAGACAATTGCTAGTTAGTGTGCTTGCAGTAAATGTCCAGACCAGAGTCAGCTGGCAGGATGGAACCCTCCACTGTTCCTAATATCCATCACTCCACCTTCTCATAGCAGAACAGGCCCCAGGGACTGGTGAGGAGGTTAAGTGAGCCGGAGTCGGCCCCGTGGGCTCCCTGCGGCCAGCAGAGTCCCTGGCAGAGGACACTCCCTGGCTAGACTTCTGAGTCACTCTGCAATGGAGACTCCGCTTCTGGAGCGGCGGCTGAGGCCGCCTGATCCCAGCCAGCAATCCTGGACCTTCAGGGACATGGAGTGGAGACTGGTTGGTCTGTTCAACAGGCTCAATTACCCATTCACTCACTGGTTGTCCTTTCCCTTCTCCCGGTTTTACCTTTTTTATCTGGAAAATGAAAGGATTGGATGGTCTTTAAGGTACAGCTCTCTTTGTTTCAATTAACAGAAAACCCAAACTAGTTTGAGGGAGAAGGAAATGTATTGACACACCTAACTGAAAAGTCCAGACACGGGCATGTCTTCAGGTACATGATCAGGGGCTCAGAGCCGTCCCTAGGGTCTGTGTCGTCTCCCTCTCCTTTCTCTCTCTCGC